CCACCATCTCCACTAGGTAAGATCGTGTAAACGACCTTAGCTGTACACAGTCAGATTCGGAATGACTGGCTCTCCAACAGCTCTCTAGGCCTCTCCTGCGACGCTTCATCTCCCAGAGCTCCCCCGTAAACCACAGAGCCAACCAGGATCTGCGTCGAGACCCCCAGCAGCCGTCTTATCTCAGGCATCCACCAGTTGCAGCCGGGGCGTGGGAGAGAGAGAGAGGTATCGTCCCCAGCTCCACCTGGAACCTCTCTGGGTCCATCAGCCTGGGGCGGAACCAGGTGGTCAGTCCTGCATCCCAGAGAGGGGGGGTGGCATACTGGAAGCCTAGCCAAAGGAGATAGTGATCGGTTCATGACGGGGTAAATAGCAGATTCTCCCCCACCGAACTCAACCTGCCACTGTTCCAAGATAAAAACAAGATCGAGCGTGTGCCCCCCCCCCCCGAGTCGGGCCCTGAATAATCTGAGTCAGGTCCATGGCTGCCATGGAAGCCATGAACTCCCGAGCCACCCCCGACACCCCACCCAGAGAAGGCAGGCTGAAGTCCTCCAGTACAATAAGTCTGGGGAACTCCATCACCAACCCCGACAGGGCATCGAGCAGCCCAGGCAGGGCCGTTGTTACGCAGCTGGGAGACAGGTACACAATCAACAGGCCCAACTGCCCCTGTGGACCCCATCTCATGAGGAGGGTCTCACACCCGTCTATCTGGGGAACAGTGACCTGCCGCGGACTGAAGGTCTGCCTAATAACAACCACCACCACCCCTACCCTACCCTGGGCCCTCGGCTGGTGTAGCACCCGGAAGCCTGGTGGGCAAAGTTCTGTCAGAGGGACACCTCCCTCTGCGCCCAACCAGGTTTCCGTAATGCAAGCCAGGTCTGTGTTTTCCTCCTCAATCAAATCACGAATGAGGGGAGTTTTGTTAACAACAGACCTGGCATTAAAATAGACCAGCCTAAGCCCAGGGGCCCCTTCTCTCAAACCCCCAGGAAGTCGGGTTGAACCAGGAGGGTCAGAGCACGCCTCCGCTTGGAGATAGCAGGGGCGAGCTCCCAGATTTCGATACGGCCCTTGGTTCATCCATCTGCCTCCATTCCCCATCACAACCAGGATCAGAGCACCCACCCTCTCCCCCGGGGCGCCCAGGGGTCCCAACCCCGCTCCAACCCCACCGCTACCCATCCATGGCCTGGACTGCCCCCCCAGCAACCTGCCGGACATAACCCTCCCCCCTCCCCAATCCCCTTAAAAACCTAAGTAAAAAACAATATAGAGTCCCCTTATTAAAACCCTTAAAACCCCTACGCCACCTCTCGGGATCCCGGGACCCGTCATTAAGGTAGACCTTCCCCAGGCCAGCAGGCCACTCCCAGGAATGGGGGGCATTCCTCAGAGCAACCAAATCCGCGCTTGAGTATGTTAGAACCATCCTCAGTCATCGAGATGAGTACGTCCAAAGCGAATGGGGGTATGACCAGATCCACCCCAGCAGCAGGAACCTTCATCCCCAGGTGCCCTCTCACAGCAGCCGGGAATGACCAAAGATGATAATCTCACCGCCCTCTCACCACAGCAACGGTTCCTGTGCCCGCTTGGCGATCCCTCAAGGTGGGAACCGCTAGTCCCAACTGCCCTCTCACCGCAGTATGGCCCGCCTTGATGGAAAACAAGTCCACGACCACCCTCTCACCATGGTGGGGATTAACACCTCAGGGTCTATGACCACTATCATAGGAGATACCTGGAGACACCTCTCATTTTGGATTGCCTTCCTTTAGAATTCCTGATTGAATGTTGAACTGCGATTAAGTTGCCCATTAACTTGAAGACTACCAAACGAAACCCCTTCAATCTTCCTTTCCTTCCAAAGGAGCACCAACTGGGACTCATGAGACAATGGCCACATTTATGGTACTTAATATACTCTTGTATATTAAAAGAAAATTAGCACAGAAGGAACTTCCATACCATCTCCATTTCTGTCCCCCTTAATTCTTAATTCTTCTTAATTCTTAATTTACCGGTAATACATCCATACAATTCACTTGATTATCTCATGCTGCTTTCCTACTATTTTAATCCATGCTACAGATAGAGATGATAGAGAACTGATATGAATATGCATGATACCAGTTTCCCATTTCATTTCAAAAACCTTATACAAAATTGAGTGTGGAAAGATGTCCCCTGGTTGTTGCGCTACTAAGCCATTCATTTTTGTATTTCTGCAGTACAGTATGAGTCATATAAATGTTCCAAATCCTTTTTCATGAGGAAGCAGTTGAAAAAAATAAGATCTTTTAGAAAGATGTTCTCCAGAATCTTTTGGAATGGTGTTGGAGAATGGTCACTTTCACTAAGTTTAAAACAAGGATACAAGAATATAAGAAATGGAGGGCAACAGGGTATTTGCAGTCTGAATAGCTGTGTTGAGAAGAAAAGTTTGGCAGATGTGACTAGTCATAGAGGGCTACAAATCTGCAGCTGCTGAAATTCTCCATCAATGTAGCTGTTAAAAGCTCAAGAACCTTCTCCTGTCTGTATCTGATCACCTTGCTCATGTGTATATTTTTAATGCTCCCCTTAGAACTCATGCAATCCTCAGAACTGCAAAATGGATGAAGACTACTCCCTAAAGAATAAAGTGATTTGCTAGATCTCACATCACTCTTTCAATAAATAGGGGTTACTTACTCCAGATTTTAGGCTAAAAGTAACAGCTGTACAATTCTATTTGGACCTCACAAGTCAGACAGTGAAAATGCCTCCTCAAGAAAGTCTAAATTACTTAGGCTGAGTGCCAGATCCTCTAAAAGGCAAACTCTGTGCAGCATAGCTCTTTAATGCCACAGGCAGCTGGTCACTGTCTGTGCCATGTCTGAGGACACAATGAGTCTGGATGAATGGCCTCTGCCCAAATAACTAGAGATAATCACGAAGCACAGAAAATAGTGGAGCTTTTATAAAACTGAGTAGGTAGGGGTATAATGGTTCATTACTGAGATACTGGATGTGAAGCACTAGGAAATAGCTGAAAGTTGGTATACAGTGTTGTTGATGAAACTCCTTATTTGTTGTTGATTTGCTGTTACTTTCACAGGTCAAAATAGAATGCCAGTATCACTTCTCTGAATATAGAAAAGAATATGCAGTCTGTGCAGTCCAGCAAAATTCTCCTTGGAATTAAGTTCTACTGAGTTCAGCAAAATTTACTCCACAAGATGTGTATGTACATCCTAATAGAAATTATTAAAAGATTATAATTATAAAGCTAGGTCACAAATATCTAAGTAGTCATTAGATGCCAGCAAAGACATAAAGATAACTAAGTTTTGCTGCCATCTCATGGACATCCAGAGTTTTGCAGAATAGATATGGTAGCCCTATAATCAAATTTCTTGGGCTATTGCTTATTAAAATGGGATAAAAATGGAATATATAGCAGTAAGTTATATATAGAATATACATTTTTTTGCTCATTGCCAACAACCTTCCTTCCTTGAAATGAATTAACGGTTATGAGCTCATGTATGCAAAGAACTCTGGAGCAGTTTCTAACTTTTACTCCTAAAAGCAAAAAAAAAAAAAAAAATTAGACATGACCATCAGTATAAAAAAATTCTACGTGTGGAATATCACATGAAAAGCATTAAGTCTGTTCTTTATTATATTAGTGAAACCACAGTTGGCTTCATTTCATTTAATGGAGCACTAATATTAATATTTGAATAAGAAAAGAAAGTAAGTCTGATGTTTCATGGAAGAAATAACAACATAAAAATACTGTCCATAGTTTAAAATGTGTATTTGAAAGCAATGACTATTTTAAAATTTTTAGCATGATGTCAATAATATAAGTAAATTACAAACTTCAACATGTATTGCAGGCTCCTCGGGCAAGGATTTTTCTTGTTTATATTATTCTATAGACACCATGTTCACAAATGCTGTTCAATATCATCATCATCCATTATCCATTTGTACCTTTCTTTCTGGCCACGGTTGCTGCTCAAGGTTGCAATCCATTGGAAAGCTTGTCTATGCAAACCCAAGTGCACAGAAAGAACTCCTTGTGTCATTATTCCAAATGTGTAGTGTTAAATAGTTTTACTTGCACTGTAAATACCCTTTGACAAAAAGTAATCTTGAATGATGGGGCTCCCATTTGATGTATGCCCCACTGTCATCATGTATGTTTACATCACCGAAATAATTATTCTGGGAATGAAGAAGCAAACTAATTTGATTTGTTTATTTTAAAGTTCAGAATGAAGCACTTTAAAGTCGTTTACCAGTTCTTTAAACTGAATCTCCTCAAGGATACTGACTGATTTTAAAAGCAGAAACATTCTTTTATTGTGGGGTGGGGGAGGAGTGTGAATAGCGTAGGCCAGGAGCAAAGGCTGCCTGGCTTCACCCAGTGAGATCTCCGGGAAGCCAAGATGGAGGCAAACAGAGGGGTTAATTTAGCCAAGCATAGCTGTGGCTGTTTGTGGTTGTCCCTGACAGCACGGCTGGCTGAAAAGCACCTGTGTTTGCTCTCTAGCTTTCTCCAATCTGCTAGAAAATGGCCCGAGCATGTCACATGGCTGCCTGATAGGCCAAGCACCATGGGAATACAAAAGCTGGAGCTTTTAGCAGAGTTAATCATTAATGTGCCTTTTCTTTGTCCCATTCAGGAGTGCTGACAAGCGCTTTGATATTTCATATTTGCCACCAGGTCAATTTCAGTCATAACCAGGTACTAATTGAACACATTGATTCACTGCATGGCTGTACCTGAACCTTTCTGAAAATCTGGATTCAACCTCTTTTCTCTTTTTTTTAAAAAAATGTTTTAGTCTTTTAAAACAGGGTAATGCATATGTTTGCTTTTATAAAACATACACTCAGATCCACAGTGAGTGAACATCAAAGTGATTCTTTAAAAAACCCTATTGTTCTGAAACTGTTAATTTGTACTCAGAATATACACAAAACACACAATGTCATCAATCCCTAAAAATCATTTAATTTATTACACCAGGCTTAGCTGATACTTGCATTAGATTACAATTTCTATATACAGGATAAACTGCAATACTCTAGTGAATCTATTATATGCTTACACTTCCTGTAAATATGTGGTACAGTATTTGATACTTTCTGCATTTTTGTGAGATATATTAAAAATATAGTGTAAAATATGTCAAGTAGCAGAATCCCATCAAAATTACATTGAAAATTTCAACAATTATACTGGGAAACAGCATATACTTACATTTCTTATTGAGAGTGATTACAGGTGTTTCATTCTGGCTAGATTATGTTCTAAAATATTAAAAGTGACAAATGAATCGTAAATTCAAAGCAAAATTTATTCTCCCATCAACTCAATTTTAAAATACTGGAAAACCTGAAATGTTTTAATGAGTCTTCCTCCTCAGTTTCAGCAACTTGGGAATTTGGTCAGTCCTTTGTGGCAGAGTGACCAACAGTCTGCACTTACAGGCATGGTTTGGTAACTCCAGGAAAGCAAACTCCTTTATCTTGGAGTTAATTTAGCAAACTAAATTCATAAAGCTTGCCTTCCTTGCCCTTCATCAATGCAAGGGTGAAAGTATCTTGAAGTCAAAAGTTGAGTGTGGCTTTTTGTGACTGACTTTGAAAGGAAAAACAATTCTCAATTATGACTTGGATATCAAATAAAATCTTTTCCCCATCTTACATGTGTTTTGTTGGGACCATGTGGACTGTTCCAAGACGACCTTACAGGGGGAATGGGGAGGGAAGATAAAGGAGTGAGACAAAGGGAAAACAAACTCTCCCTCCTTTCTAATTCATTCCTGGAGTTCTTCACAGGTACCATTTTGTTTTCCATATTATAAAGTACCAGGAAATCATTTTAAGCTTTTTACTTCCTTGCTTGCTCGCTTGCTTCCAGAATAGAATCGAATTTGTATTATGGTCACAAAGTTACAGATAGAAACATATTAAAAAATAAAAATAAAATAAAAACAGAATAAAAATATGAGGTGGTAGACTTATCAACGGGCAATCAAAGTCTATCTAATTTTATGAGCAGTATAAAAAAATTGGCTATGTTCAAGAAGATTGAATCGTATTGATCTGATAACAACTGTACATTAAAAAGATCAAAACTTCCTAGATGTTTTACCAAGTATGGAGTTATGAGATAGGTCTAGGATACTCATAAATAATACGGTATTACAGGACATGAGCTATAATTTCAAGGGTCCCGTGTCTGCAGGGCACAGTCTTAGACTTTATTGTGGGAGGTTTACCAAATCACCTATCACTACCAACTCTAAACTCAAATTGTATTGGCTGATTTTGATTGAGATTTAATATTTGATGGAGCATTGTAGGGTTTTTAAAATTTATTTAATTGGCTTTGAGGGAATCTGATTAATTCAAACATTTATTTCATTGCATTATTGTTCTAATTTAAGTTTTTTATTTAATCCTTTAAGTTCCCACTTAAAGAATAAAATAATAGTTTAAAAAAGTGACTGGTAGAGATAATGTTCTGTTTTTGCTACTTTAACAATTGTATTAATTTTTTTTCTCGTTCAGCTTTGTTTTAAACTCTGCTAAAAAAAACAAATTCTACAGGTTTTAAATAAATAAATAATATGGAGAAATTTGTATTGGATTGTGTTGGTCCCAAAACCTTCCCTTTGACCTTTTGCACAAAGAGCCAACTTAAGATGCTTTCTCCAGCTCTACTCATTCGCAAGCCTCATGACTGCCCAGATTTCACTACTCTTAATTAAATAATATATACTTGCAGGGTATAGCATTTTACATAATAATATATATAACTGGTGACAGCATCCATTGATCTAACATTATTAACAATCTTGGTGTAGAATGAAAGAAAAAAGGAAAAATGTCTGTAGCATTTCAATTCCTTATTAGTAACATGAATATTCAAATGCCATCTGTAGTTGATGCTTTATTTGTTCCCCCATTTTAATTTCACAGTATGAATGAGTCCCTTTGCAGCAATAGAGACAAATGCAAAATTTTCCTTTCCTATAAAAATAGTTTGTTGCTTTAAACTATTACACAAGAGGTCATTTAAAATAATAAAGCTTGTTTTAACAATGATACAGTGCCTCATCTCAGATTAATATTTCAGATAAGTAGATAACAGTCTGCCTGAATAAGGACATGGCTCAAACAAAGGTTTCTGTTGAGCAGAAAAAGGTGAAAGACAGATGGGTTGTTAAACATTGCCAGCATACTTTGCTGGTGCCATTCAGCGGTCATTGCTAACATTAACAAGGGGCATTGTGTGTCTTCCCTTGCTCATTTCTATCGCTAAACCAAATAAGGGGAAACATACGGTGGACATTTTCTCGTCTGTAAAATGTACCTTCCTCAGGCATTTGGAGAGGGTAAATGTTTTCAGTGCAGCAGCATAGTGGTATTTCTTCATATTTTCTTTGACATATATTCTGTAAGCACTCACCATATATTGCTCTAGCAAAACTTTAGAGCACATCAACTGTGACTTTATGTTGATTCCTTTTTTTCAGCTTGTTTTCTTCATATGAGCTTCATGACTATGTCAGTGGAGTTGCTGCCTTCACTCTGAATTAATTTTGTTCCCCTTCCATTATGTCAAATAGCCATATCTCAATGGCTTCATTATAATTTCATTGCAACTGGAGAAAGACCATTTTTGAAATTAAAATATGGCAGCAAATGTTCAGTGCTCTGCATAGCATGGGTGGATGGTAGATATGGAGTGAATGTTTTGCACTGAAACCTGAACAAATATTCCAGCAGTAACAACTTTAGAAAAATATCAAAGATATCTTTTGCTGAAAAACAGAAAAAAATAAGCTTGTGATTTATGGATTTGATTATTAGAAAGAGTAAATTTTGGAACAAGGGAAATTATGATGTTAAGAAGATCAGAAGCCAATCCTCATCACTTTTCTTTTTTTTTCTTTCTTTTCTACTTCTCTCTTTTTATTATTATTTTTTGATTCTTCTTACTTTCAACTTAAAATTTGGTAAAGTTGGTAGAAGCTAGTAAAGTTAATAAACTAAGTTTAATAGTTGGCTTGGTAACACTTCCTGCAGGCAAACTGAACTTCAATAGGACTACAGTATTTGGCCGGCAGAAATCCAAATGATCACTGGATAGGAGGGAGAAGATATCAGAAAATCTAAGTTTCCTGCCATCTAGTGTCCATCCAGATTTTTGTCAACCACATGTGATAGTCCTAGTTTTGTGGAATTCTGTTCCTTCTTTTTCAATCACAAAATAGTCTTATTACATCCAAGCTACTATGCTCATTCTCTTGAAGTCATTTTATAGTTCAAATTACCAAGCATTTTCACTCATAAGGTAAAGGCATGGAGAAGCTAGAGAGAGATTTTATCTTGTTTCTTTAAGTGTGGAGATTATGAAGGATAAGGTAAACCTATAAAAGAATGGAGAAAAAAGGGATAAATTAATTTTTGCTGAGTTCAACACTAAAAAGACTGCTTTCAATTAGAAAAATACTCTGAGACCATATTTGAAGGAATCACAGACCTCTACCTAACATACAGTTGGAGGCTGTGAGTGGCTTGCAAAGACCACCTAATGGGTTTGTGGCTATGATGTGAATGGGAAAGCTCATAATTCAGGCGCAATCTTTTTCATTTTGAGTGCAAAATAAATGCAGCAGGAGGCAATAGTGATTATTCCAGATCAGTAAATATGAGTTTGAGAAATCTAACCTAGATGATATGTTTTGGTGACTGTGGTAATTTAATGATCAGAGAAGTGGTAGAGAATTGTCATTCAATGTAGACAATGATCAGTCGATGAGGTTTAGCAAGCATATAACACTTTTAGCTACTGCTCCTTCTGTTATTTCTAGTTGCTATCTTTTTGAAGGACAGATGTGAAAACAACTGCATAGAGAAGTGAAAGAGGGAGAAAAGCTGGAAGTCAGAAACACAAAAATGATGATTCTCCAACTCTCCTGGAGCATTTTCAGATTAGCTTGAATATAAAAACGATGAGTTTTTATATGGGAATGGAATATGAGATTATGTTTGCTCTAAACTACCTTGAACTTTTTCTACATCTCTGCTAATGGTAAGATCATAAATGATGTTAAATGCATCACTTTTGGTTACATGTATCTGTTACCAGATACGGTAATAATATGCAGTAGACATTGAAGAAGGCAGGTATAATCAAAATTGGGATTATAACACATATATACAATATGTGGGTGTTAATCTTTTCTTCTGCAGCCTCAGTGAAAATTTACCCTCCTGATATGGTAAATCACAAGAGGGACATTCTTGTTTAGACTTCAAATTTTAGAACAGAAGTAGAAAACAAAGTTTGGAAAATCATGCAAAGTCTGTCTGACTTTCTGACGTCCTTCCTTCCTTCCTTCCTTCCTTCCTTCCTTCCTTCCTTCCTTCCTTCCTTTAATTCCACTCTAGATCTTCATCACAGGGGGAAGGGGCTTAGAACACAAGTCAGTAATCTTTGAAGCTGCTGTCAAATACATTTCTCAAAGGAATACAACTCAGATTTTTTTTCCCTGCAGTCTTTTTTTCAAAGACACCCCCCCCACACACACACACACCCAATCCAACCATTTGTAAACTCAGTCTTCCTTTTCCTGGCTTCTATTAAAAAATTATTTCTTTTTTGTTTTGTTTTCAGAAATTAATCCTGGTGATGGACTGATAGAACCCTGAGTGTCTTTATATAATTTCCAACATTCTGTTGGATTGGAAAGAACAAAGTAATTCTGAAGCCATTATTCTGTACTTTAGGGAATCTTAACTAGGGGCTGATTCCTCTATGGATCCATCAATCACACCACAGACTTTTGCATATTTGTCACTATGTTTAACTAAGATTTACTGATAGGCAAATATGCATAGGATTGCAGCCTCAATCACATGGTAGAATGCATGGATAAAGGACCTGTTATTCAGCAAACATCACAGAAAAAGTACCCACATCTTCTACTATGACTTAAATTGCACAGATTTTCTGTGAAGCCACTTCACTCCTTGGTCACAACTATGTTTAGCAAATACAGTAGAAATTCCCTGGTATTGCTACAGTACTTAAACAGAATGTAAAATAAGTTCTACCTATTCATCTATCTAATAAGATAGTGCCTGACTATTTATCATTGTACATATATACTGTCAAAACAAATCTAGTAGGTTTATTTATATACATGTCTATTAAAACTAAGTACCTATATCCTTATCAGATTTATTTTAGATATGCCTATAAGTGTGTTATAAATTGCCACTGATCACTTTATTGTTTTTCCTGTAACTAGCCTTCAGAAATTCTGAAGTATAAATCAGGTACTTTACAAGAGTGAATTATCCAGCAGATCAAATGTACAGAGATAATATTTGCATGCAATCATATTGCAGTTCCCAATGCTGCCAATTCACATTTATCAGAAGAAATAAGTGTTTAGTAAAGTGATGAAAATTTAAATAATATATATGTATATCAGGGGTGAAATCCAGCTGGATCTATCCAGCTCACACAAACCGGTAGCACCGGTGGCGGGAGGCTCTGCCCACCCATCAGCATGTCATTACGTCCCATTTTTGACCCTCTGCGCATGCGCAGAAGGCTCCCGCATGCTCCTGTTCCTGAACCGGTAGCGAAGGTAAGTGGATTTCACCATTGATATATATGTAAGGTCACTATTCATTACCCCCAAGACGACACTGGTCTTTACAGCTATAGAATGATACTTATATCTATAGGTTTCTTTTTCATAATGAAATTTCATATTTGAAGAAATTAGTGGATGTCTCTCCAAAAATGTCTGACCTTTTACCTGATTTGTCGTAGCCAAATAGTTTTCCTGTTGAATGATATGAATAAAAGCAGCAGCATACGTTTTTATTTTGCTGAAAATAAAAACATTTTTCCAGTTTCCTCATTGAGATCTATGGTTGCATAGTATTATCTTGATTGCAAGAAGAACCTGTATTACAAAATCTTCTATTTTAAAAAAGACACATTTAAAAAACCCAGTCTTTTAAACAGAACATAAGATTTCAGAGCACCGGGATCTGCTAAGCCAGTCATGAATATTATAGGTGTCTGTTTGTAGTATTGCATAAAAGACCATTCCATTCAGCAAATCTCCATCAATACAGTCTAACAAAGTCAAAACTTGGCCACTGCTGAAAATAATAATTTGTTCTCTTGTTATATTTCATTCAAATATATATCATAAATCATTCTGTTTAGAATGGACAATGAATTAAATTCTGTTTAATAGTTAAAAACACAATCATGCAAAATTATGTTTTAGTATCTTTTAAAAATCCACTTTAAAAAACTTTAATGGCCTTACTCTTCCCTATGGGTTTACAAATAAAAATACTACATTGCATAATTTAAAAAAATAACAGTTATTTTTATAAAATTATACAATGTAGTATTTTTATTTGTAAACCCATAGGGAAGAGTAAGGCCATTAAAGTTTTTTTAAAGTGGATTTTTAAAAGATACTAAAACATGATTTGAATGTAATTGCTTTGAAATTTAAATGTAATTGCTTTAAGTGGGCTACCCTGCCCCTTTCCTTAAAATTAATGCAAAATGCAGCTGTAATGCAGCTGGCTCCAGGGTGTTATCAACGCTTCGTTGAGTGAGGGTCACTTCCCCGCCGCCTTGAAAGAAGCGGTGGTGAGGCCTCTCCTCAAGAAGCCGTCCCTGGATCCGGCAATATTGGCCAACTATCGTCCTGTCTCCAACCTTCGCTTCCTGGCGAAGGTTGTTGAGAGTGTGGTCGCGCGACAGTTTCCACAATTCTTGGAGGAAACATCCTATCTAGATCCGTTCCAGTCGGGTTTCAGGCCTGGACACAGCACAGAAACGGCATTGGTCGCGTTGGTTGATGATCTCTGGAGGGCTCGGGACAGGGGTTGTTCCTCTGTTCTGGTCCTGTTAGACCTCTCAGCGGCTTTTGATACCATCGACCATGGTATCATGCTGCACCGGTTGGAAGAGTTGGGGATGGGGGGCACCGTATTATGGTGGTTCTCCTCCTTTCTCTCCGACCGGTCGCAGTTCGTGTTGGCAGGGGGGCAGAGGTCGACCTCAAGGCCTCTTATATGTGGAGTGCCTCAGGGGTCGGTCCTCTTGCCCCTCCTGTTCAACATTTATGTGAAGCCGCTGGGCGAGATCATCCGTGGCTTTGGGGTGAGATACCACCAGTACGCTGATGACACCCAGCTGTACATCTCCACCCCAGGCCACCCCAACGATGCCCTTGAAGTGATGTCCCAGTGCCTGGAGGCTGTGCGGATCTGGATGGGGAGGAACAGGCTCAGGCTCAACCCTTCCAAGACTGAGTGGCTGTGGCTCCCGGCATCCCGATATAGTCAGTTGACTCCATCACTGACTATTGGGGGCGAGTCGTTGGCCCCCACAGAGAGGGCTCGCAATCTGGGAGTCCTCCTGGATAGGCAGCTGTCCTTGGAGGAACATCTGACAGCTGTAACCAGGGGGACCTTTTGTCAGGTTCGCCTGATCCGCCAGTTGCGGCCCTTTCTTGATCGGGATTCCCTGTGCACAGTCACTCATGCCCTCGTCACCACTCGCCTTGACTACTGCAACGCTCTCTACATGGGGCTCCCCTTGAGGAGCACCCGGAGGCTCCAACTGGTCCAGAATGCAGCAGCGCGGGTAGTGACGGGAGCAGCCTGGCGCTCCCATGTAACACCGCTCCTGCGCGAGCTGCACTGGCTCCCAGTGGTCTTCCGGGTGCGCTTCAAGGTGTTGGTTATCACCTTTAAAGCGCTCCATGGCATAGGGCCTAGCTATCTTCGAGACCGCCTGCTGCCACCGACGATCTCCCATCGACCCGTGCGCTCCCACAGAGAGGGCCTCCTCGGAGTGCCATCAGCCAAACAGTGCAGGCTGGTGACCCCCAGGGGGAGGGCCTTCTCTGTGGGGGCACCTACCCTCTGGAATCAATTGCCTCCAGAGATAAGGAGAATCCAAGACCTCAGTGCCTTCCGCCGTGCCCTTAAAACCTTCCTTTTCCAGCAAGCCGGGCTGGCCTAATTTTTTAAGTGTTTTTAAGTGTTTTGTTTATTGTTTTTAATTAATGGGGCCAAATTTATATATGTATATTTTAACTGTATTTTAATATTTGTACTTGATGTTTTTACTTGGCTCCTCAGGGAGAAGGGCAGTATACAAATTCAAAATAAAATAAATAAAATAAATAAAAAGTAAGATGCTTATAGCATTTGCCGAAGACCCACAATTTTTAAATGGCTACATTGGCTACTTATTTAACAATGCCCAGGTTAAAGTTTTTAGTATTAACCTATAAACCCCAAATCACTTTGAATCAGGAAATCTAAGAGAATATCTTCCATATAGAACTGTCCAACCACTGTAATAGCCATTGGAGACCTTCCTGATATTATTGTTTTCCATAACACAGGAGTACACAACTTCTGACAGCTCACACATTCCTTTATATCAAGCTAAGGGGCTGTACTTCAAAAGTGAAACTTCTCTGAACATAATTTGTAAGAGGGGGAAGTTCATAGTTTTTATCGGATTGCAATGGCTTCTCAGAAAAGTATGAACATAGGGAGGGCATAGCACATCTATCTGAAAATCTTTAAAGCAATAATTTTTTTCCCCGGACTTGTCTCAGAATACATCTTTTTGGAATTAACTCTAAAGAATCTCATAACCCTATTCTTTACATCCTTTCACCAAACCCCCAAAAAGGAAGAGGAGGGGAAGATGCTCTTGATACCACATGTGGGCTGCAGGTGGTCTTCCGGCAATACTCTTGGTACCATCCTATAGATCCACATTTGACATAGGCCATTGATGGTGGGATGCCGCCCTGCTACAGTTTTAGCAGATATTAAAAACATATTTAGAATGTTGGCACTTGAAATCCAAAAATGGCACAGTCAGACTAATGATTTCCACTGTTATATAGTATTGTTTCTTTTATATTTAATTGAATTAAATTATATTTAATTTAATTCATGCGTAAGTTTAATTCTTTACCATACCCTGGCAATGTCTCACATGACCTGAAGGATATACATAAGCTTGTGTTTGTTTATGTCAATCAAAAGCTGCATCAAAAAAACTCACTATGCTACATGATAAATTTGTAAAGTTATCCTGAGTGTGGGAGGTAAGATCCTGATTTTGGGCGGGGCAGGGGAGGAGATAATTTTCCAAGTCATGATGGAGATGGAAGAGAAAGGGAGGGGGAGGGGGAAGGGGAGGGAGGGAGGGAAGAGGAAAGAAAGAAGATGGTTTATTGGACTCTGGGTGGCTTACAACATCCAATATTCAATTAGAAACATAATTAAGCATAAGAGTCCTGACAAAAACAACTAACAGTAAAAAATAACATAACAGGCTCTACTAACACATTAACCCTTGGCCAAGGAACAGAGCCAGGCCTTTCTAGAACCCCAGAAAAGTTGTTGCTCTCCACATCTGCAGGGAGATGCTGTTCTGGAGGGCGTGATAGCATAGAAGATGTCCACTTCCTCAGTCTACAAGATGACAATGTTTAATTGAGGGGACCCATTCTGCTAGGATGTACTAGATTCAGATGCACATTAAAGTACTTATGCTGTGCAGTGTTTGTGATTCAAAGGGAAACAGTGCCCAGAATATGCAGTTATACACTCACGTGTGCCATGTCAGCAATACTTCAGCCAGAAAACTGCAACATTTTCCCAAGGCTTTAAACCACAGAATGTTTTGACTAAAACTATTTTCATAAATTTGCTGTTCGATATATCTTCTGATACTCAATGTTCAGTGATAGTTTGGGTTAAGTTGTCATCAGCAGCTGCTGCTTGCACACCTTTTCCCTTTTGAAATCCCTTTAAATTCAAAATGATGCTCAGTCCTATTAAATGCACTTGTTTATTCCTATTCTAATAAAATCATTATACAGCTAGTGATAAAATGCAATAAAATTTAATATTAACAGAGTTTATAAAATAAGGCAGACCTTTTGAGAAAATGAATTGTAGAATTCAGCATCCATCAAAAATGTTTTGGAAGAAATGCTTCCGACTTATCAAAAACACCTTTATGCTCTTAATTAAAACAGCCATATTAGACAAGAAAACTGAGAAGCAACAGCATTTTCAGCCATGCATAGAAACAGAAAAGACATGGCTGAAGTATTTATTCCACATTGATTTGAAATATGCGCAAATAGAATAGAACTAGTACTACAAGTAATAAGAATTTAGTAACAAAAGAACTTATTTCTATTGGTTTGCAAAATTGGTTGTGGATATTTGAAGAGGGATCAGAGTCTTTAAATTTATTCTTTAAAGGACAGGTTTATGACTGTTGTTCTAGCACCCAGTGGTCAAACCATTACAGTACTTGCACAGAAGACAGGAGAGACAACCTGTGGCTAAGTTATTGGGCAAACATTGTGCTTTGGAGCTTGTTTGTTCTGGTCATAAACACAAAGCAGGTCACCTTTCATGGGCATTCAAATTTTACTTTTTCAAATACCATTCAGTTGCCACATCAACAATAACAAAAATCATATTGGGCAATGCAAGGTTAAGGAGCCACCTTGGAAGTCATGGCTTCCCATTGTTGCTTTGGAGGCACTTGATTCGCTTTGAAGTTCCGTAGGCAGACGGAATTTTACAAAGCCCGAAGGTCATGGCTTAGAGAAGGGACAAATCGTTCAAAAGCAACAGAAAGTGTTTGGCAGGTGGATAGGAAAACACAAGAAAATTAAATTGTAGAATTTATGGCAAAATGTTTTACAATGAATATTTTCCATTATCTTCATTTTTAAAAATTGCATGGAAGAAACAGAACAAAAATTGCTGTCTTTGATATCAGTATCAAAGTGCTTCCCAAATTTCTGATCAGTGGGTCTCTTTTTTTTTCTTGAACTGCAATTGGAGTTATTGTATACACACTTATAATCAAATTTATACTTTCTCATGCCCATCAAATGTTAATGCTGAATGTCTGAAAGGAAGGTGTAATCACTTTCATTTGAATGCACAATCTGGAAACCTTCTTTATTATGATCTGGATTATAATGAGAAGTATAATGTTATTCAAGCAAATACAAATACAGCTCTCCTATAGCATTCCTGCAGAATGCAGAGGATGGAGACAGAAAGGAAACCATGCTACCTGCACAGAATTGTTCTCTACCTAGTTTGACTAAACACAAACACCAATGTATTAAAGATTTATTCGGTATTTGTATTCTGTGGATATGTGTCCCACATTGTCCTCTAGCAGCAAAAACCTGGCATGCATACCATTTCTCTCTTTCAATTTTTCCCCATGACCAAAAACAAATGCCAAGTATATTGGTCTGAGAAATAGGGACTGACCTAAAGTTACCCTGTCAACTCCCATGGATTGGGTTAGTGTGAATCTGAACCTGAGTATTTCTGATCACAAGACAAATGTTGAGACTCTAGAAAGAATTCAGAGAACAGCAGTAAAGATGATTAGAGGAATGGAGACTAAAACATAAGAACAGTTGCAAGAACTGGGTATGACTAGTCTAGCAAAGAGGAAAAAAACTAGGAGTAACATGGTAACAGTTTTCCAATATGTATGGGACTGTCTCAGTGAAGAAGGATTCAACTATTCTCCAAAGAACCTGAAGGCAGAACAAGAAATAGGGGATGGAAACTTACCAAGGAGAGATCCAATCTAGAACTAAGGAGAAATTTTCTGACAGTGAGAACATTTTTTAATCTGTAGAATGGCTTGCTTCAGATTCAGTTTGAAACACTTTCCCTCCATAAAAAACAAACAAACCAGGCAATGTTTATAATATCAAAGTTAGCCTGATTTTGCGGGAGGGAAAATATATTTACTATTAGCCTATTAGGATTTCAGGACAATCTATAAAACAGAGCAATTCTGCTTACCTGGTTAGATGCGCTGTGGCTGTGTCCCCATCCATATCCTCTCCAACTTGTAACGGCTACAGGCCTTTTCTCCTTATTTTTTTTTTATTTCACTGAATAAAGTGGAAAAGAATAAAGTATATCAACATTAGTGCACTTTTTATGTATGTTGGAGTAGAGTACCCATAGAACAAGGACAACATCAACCGAAGCAGTCCTTCCAAAGGGACTGAAAATCCATTCATGAGAATCATCAGCAGGCACCAGTATGCAGTTCTTCCATCACACCAGGGGCTCTGATCTCCAACTCAAGGCCAGATAAAATGCAACACAATCACAGATTCAAAACAGCAGATTAAAAAATTTAAAAACAGATGAGAGCTTACATTGATTAAAATATCCAGGATATTAAAAAAAAATCATACATCAAAAAAATTACAACATTGGGGGACTAAATATCTATTTCTTTATTCAAATGTTAGCAATTGGCTATGAGGTCATATTTCCTTCGAGAACAAGGAGCTACAATCTGTCAACTCTAGAAGGTAAATCAGATGTGGAAACTAACTCCTCAAGAGCTATTGTAATTCTACTTTGTTGTTGTAGGGCAGGGGTGTCAAACTCATGTCATCACGTGACGTATCGGGACTTTTCCCCTTTGCTAAACCAGGCATGGGCATGGCCAGTGCATGACGCACCCGGGGTGTGGACTGGGAGTTTGACAGCCCTGTTGTAGAGTATAATAATAAATTCTTCATAGCCTGACAGGCCCCACCCTGTATACCAAGAGACTCCAGGCAGGGAATCTTCCTCATTCCTTCAATAGAATACTTTCTTCAAGGCCACCTTTGTATTCTTATACACATTTCTTAAAGATAGACAGGTCCTACCCCAACATGGGCAGAATCAAAATCACAAGTCAATAGGAACACTTTTGTTTTTCAATTCATAAACATTAACAGGTTGGAAGTTTTCATCAAACTATGATGTCATGATGCCCATATAAAAGGAGGGAGCTTGCATCATAATCACATGATGGTACAGTGGTCTAAGCACCCTGTTATTAACACAGCTGCCTGCAATTACTGCTGGTTCGAATCTCTCCAAGGCTCAAGGTTGACTCAGCCTTCCATCCTTTCTAAGGTAGGTGAAATGAGGACCCAGTTTGTAGGGGCAATAAGCTGACTTTGTATAAAATATACAAAAGTATGAAGGCTATTGCTTAACGCATTGTAAGCCACCCTGAGTCTCCGGAGAAGGGCAGCATATAAATCAAATTAAAAATAAAAAATAATAAAAAATAATGCTGCTTTTATTATTCCCCTCCTCTGGCTTTAATCCTGTGGCTTTAACTTATTCAGTAGGCAATCATTTGCTTCCTCCCTCCCTCCCACCCTCCAAAATATGCCTAATTCACTTATTTCTCAAAAATGTGCAATATGCCCTGGCCTAAACACTCCATTCTCTTCTCTCCCTCCCTCTTTCACACCTGTCCATACAAACTTTTACAACCATTTATCTATCCTGTTCTCCAACTTGTTTCCATCTTCATTCTCTCCTTCACTTTTTTTGTGCATACCCTTCTCTTACCACTCTTTCTCGTATTCCCATGGTTCCTTTCCATTCAGCTGTTATTCTATGATAGGTTCTTTCTTCACGAACAATTTACTTTCTTTCCCTTGTCAACAAGGAGAGCTTTTATTTCTTCTGGTCTTGAGTCGTAGGAAGATCTGGAAAGAGGCAGAAAATGATTGAAACTTGGGGAATAGCTTGGGGAAGCTTAGGATCTCAGGGCATGGCTCCAAGCATTATTCATGTTGCTTAAGAGAGCGAGCAGGATTAATAGAGCAATGCAGCCTTCCCTAACCTAGTGCCCTCTGGATAAATTGGACTTTGGCCTTTATAATCTCCCCAGAGTCACAAAAATGAGGAAGAATAGTTCATTTGATATTTGTTGCTGATGATGGCCTTCCACATAATACTGTTTTTTATTTAAAAGACTGTCATGCTCAGTTTCTCTCATTTCCTCCCTCATACCGCACTGGTATGCAGCTGCCTAAAAAGGATGGGAATCAAATTTTCAATTGAGCATGGTGCACAGTTGCCTTTTGATGTGGTAGGAAAGATTAGGTGACTATACCACTCCCACACACCTATGCATCTGGATCTTCTATATAGCTCCTATTCACATTTCCTGCTATGGGTGAGCTAAGCATTTCCAGCAGTGTTATAAATGAGCATCCCAAGTCAGTCTTGAGATCTCCATGCATTGTTGTGCAGATCTGTAACTGGATCCAGGCTAAAGAGTTTTTCAAAGCACTTTTAGGGACCCTTTTTTCCCCCAGCAGAAGGCTCTGTCTTGGTGGTGGCAGCATGGAGGCTCACCAAAGCAGGGGATAACTGGAGATAAACAGGTGCTTTCTTCTTTTTAGAGGCACGTGAGGTCAGCTCTTAGGATTCAGCTGAGACAATAGGAGCCCTTTTGCCTTTCAGCCTTTCCTCCTGACCACCCAGTAGAAGAAAAATCCCTGAGGTTAGGGCAATTTCACTCTGGAAAAAAAAACTGTGTAAACTTTGTATTTCCTATGGGGCTGATCCTTTACTGACATGTTCAACATGATCACAACAAATCATTCTGTGATACTGACTTTCAATATGTATTTTCACATTAGATAAATTGCTCCATCTCATTTACACTAATATTTTGACAAAAGTAGTTTTTAGAGAAAAAAAGCATGATTTTTTAAATATTAAATTTAAACAAAAGGAATTGTACATACATAGAAACATAAACATTTGGAACTGAAGCAGAAACGTGATATTTTTGTTTATGGTATATGTGTACTATCTTGCCATAAATATAGCTGCAAAAAATTTTAAGATCAGTGATTCAGAAGCATTTAAATCACTTTTTCAAAGTACACTTACAGTAAGCATTAACACAAAACTTTCTGGAATTTATTAAATTAAAGGCAGTAGCAAAAATGTGCATTTTGCACAATGAATCATCATTTTCTTTAATATTCCTCCATCCCAAACAGGATGCTTAGGCCCTATTTTTTATTAGCTTTTATTACTTACCAAAATGTCTACTGCATGTGACTACATTTCCTGTGAATGATGTTCAGGCTTTCATTGTGCCCTTGTTTTAACTTTTAATGTCAAAACAGTCCTTAATTTATAAATAAAGAAATAAAGCTTTGTATTAACAACACTACTGTAAGTATTTAATGCTTGTAATTTGTAATAGTGATACAAAGGCTCATAGAATGAAATGATTAAAAGGTAAAATACATCAATCACTCTAAAGTAAATGTAAGCGTATATGTAATGTAAGGTAGATACTTATTGATGGTGTGCTACATGCTTCAGAAGGAATCAACATTTATGTAAACAATTATACTTGGTTTTCAATAAATAAAAAAAATTCCCATAGCAAACTATGTGCATTATTTTATCATATTCACAATATATCAATATACTGTGAACTCCAGAATAAATCAGGTAATATAATAGATATTCTTTATTGGTGAATATTGACTTTTATACATGTACATGTAGAGATTGTCATATTTAATGCTATCATTTTTACATATTTAAATCATTATACCTGTGTGTTCTATCCCACATACAAAACTGCCCTTCCAGCACTGAAAAATGACTGAGCAGAAGGTAAAATATTAGAGAATAACATGACTACAATATATTTTCTCTGAGAAGGGTTTTATTTCATTATCATCAAGTATTTTAAAAAGTAGATGCAGCATATCCTTAAAACGTATTGCTTATATAGTAGTCTTATTTTAAATCTTGTCTATCCAAATCTGAAAGCTTTAAATCCTCAATGCTAAATATATTTATTTGGCTGTAAACACCACTGAACAAAATGCAATTTATTTCTGAATAAACATGCAATGAAGAATTGATATAACTCCCAAGAAAGCAAAATCTATGTGAATACAAGGGGGAAGATTGTGCAGTACTAAGCTATTAAAATCAGTTGAACCTAGAGTAGAACATTCTTTAAGTGATTTCAGTCTGACGTCTTCCATTGTGTTGAGAAAGAGGATTGTTCATCAAAATAGCAGATTCCTGGTGGGCTGTTTAAAATTTCAACATAATTTGGCTTGAGATCTGAGAATGGGATGTGGAAATACTAAATATATTTTTCAAAAAATGTGCCTGAAACCTTGACAGCAAATAAATACAGTAAACATGAATGGAGACTTTAGTGAATAAACCCACACCCCAAGTTAGCTGGAATTGCTGCAGCTGTGTTCTTATCTGGCTGGAGGAAGAACTACCACAACAAAGGGGAGGCTAAGAAGCCCTGGCTGATGCATGGGAAAGCCATTGGCCAGCAATTGTGGCTGCCCTTCTGCTGAGCAAATAGTTCAAACTGTTCATTCCCATCTTCTATTCTCTCCCCGGTACATTGTTTGTGTCCTTGCATTTCATTCTGCAAGGAAGATTGCTCTCTGGGCCTATAAGCAAACAGTCCAGAAAAAGAGCCAACTAGCCTTCTCTTTTCCCTGGAGAACTAGCATTTTTACTTCCAGCTCCAAGCTGTCAACATGCTAGAGAGTTAATGTCAGTATCGTGAATTAATTGCTTTAAGCTGGAGCAGTCAAAATGTGCACCAAATGCCCAGAATATGTTTATCAATGTTTCCTCTTTTTATTCTTTTTCCCCTACCCCCCCCTCTTTTTTTTTCAACTACCCTGCTGCTTTTTTCTGCTCAAATTGCCAGCCTAACTATAGGTTACATTGACTAAATATAAATCACTTACGGTGAATTCTGAGCAGTTCACAAGGTATCATCGAACAAAAACAGAAACACTGACATGTTCTGGGCTCGGAATTGTCCGTCATCATTTCAGAAATTCCACATTATAACCTTAACTGTAGGAACAAGGTGATGAAATGAGCAAGTTAGGAAAAAGCAAGATTATATTTACTCATACATATCTTTGCAAAATTAACTTTGCAAATGGTGTGGGAATAACAAAGGAAAAAGGGGATATGAATGGTAAATGGATTTATGTTTAAACATGCTATATTTTAAAGTGCTCCCTAGTGTGAATGGCCCTCTTTAAGAGAATGAAATAATAAACCAATTTATATACCAATAGAGAGCTGAGATCCTGAGTGCCGTTGTGTAAATTTTCCCCCTTGACTTTTCATTATCTACCTGTGCAAAATCAATCTATATGTATGGGATCAACATAAAATTGGAGAGATAAAAGAAAAATAAAATGTGCTTTGCATATCCTGGAGATAACAGGCACTGTTACTTATTCTCTACTGGTTTTCAGGACTATTTCCAGCATTTTATTTTATTATTTTATTTTATTATTTATCTATCAGGCTATAAAAATAAAAGAAAAAGATAGGACAATGTGGTTCATGTTTACTTCTTTGCTGGAAATATTGATTCAGTTAAATGAACTGTGGTTAATAAGTAACCAAGGAAATATCAGCTTAATTTTGCCTGTAATTTATTTTATTGCAAAACAGTATGAAGTGTGCTGCATTTGGGCTTTGCAAGAAAGGTCTATAAAATACAAACTATAGATATCAAACATATTTACTCATCCAGTTAAGAAAAGAAAAAGAGAGATTTGCCACTGAAAATACTGAAACTTAATCACACTTAACATTGTTGGATATTGCCTTCTATTGCAGACAAAGTGCATGGCAATGAAACGCAACAAGAGGGTAGAAAAACATTTCATTGTTTCCATTCTTGGCCCAAAGGTGTTTTTTCAAGAGGCAACTTTCTTGGGGTTGAGTCTGTGTTGTCTGCATCGCAAACTGAAGTGCAAGTGGTTCCTATAGTCTGCAATTTTTCTGGACAAACAAATCCCCAAGTGGCCTCAACAACTCTCTAAAATAGGGTGTCAAACTCAAGGCCCACGGGCTGGATCCACCCGCAGGGTGCTTAAATCTGGCCCACGGGGCTGGCCTGGAAATATCAAAGGACTGGCCTGCGGGGCCTTTGCTGCCCAAAACGGGCTGTGGGGAAGAATGTGCAGCCCCCGTGTGGCCCGTTTTCAGCCTCCACAGCAGGGGTAAAATGTAAAATTTGTTACTACCGGTTCTGTGGGTGTGGCTTGGTGGTGGTGGGGTAATGTGACTGGGTGGGCGTGGCCAACTTTTTTTTTATTTTAACTTTTCAAAGCATTTTTTCTAATGCTTTGAAAAGCCTCTCTGACGATCAGGCAACTCAGCTGGGATCGTCAGAGAGGCTTTTTAAAAAATGCTTTGAAAAGCCTCTCTTGCGATCAGGCAACTCAAAGCATTTTTTTAATTACCTCTTTGGCCAAGAGATTGCAGAAAAAAATGCTTTGAAAAGCCTCTGATGATCCCAGCTGAGCCGCGCGATCATCAGAGGCTTTTTTTTACTTTTAAAAGCATTTTTTCGTCGGAAGAGGTAGTAGAAAAAATGCTTTTAAAAGTAAAAAAAAAAAAAGCCTCTGATGATCCTGCGGCTTAACTGGGCATGGTGGGGGTGAGGGGGGCGCAGAAATTTTTGCTACTGGTTCTCCAAACCACCCGCCACCATCGCTACCGGATCGGGCAATCCAGTCCAAACTGGGAGCATTTCACCCCTGCTCCACAGCCTCCTGCAGCACTCTGCCAGCCAAAAACAGCTCTCGAAGAAATCCAGTTTGACACCCCTACTCTAAAAGAATACAAATGACAGGAATATAAATCCTTCCATTCCCCACCATCCAGTTAGAACTGAAGAAACATCTTGGATGAGAAGTGAAACGTCTTTGAAGAAAAACAAAAAAAGTCCAGTTGCCTCTTGAAAAAAGCACCTTTGCAACAACCATGACCTGGATGACTGAGAGTCTCCATAGACATTTAGCTATGCACTTTGGGATGAACACCCTTTAAATGGTGTGGGAGTAAGAATGGATTTCCAAAAAAAATGCAGACTACAGGAACCATTTGCACTTCAGTTTGAGATGCAGACAACACAGACTCATCCGCAACAGCCTGTGCCTGTGTTCAACAGTGAAGAAACACAGGGCAGAAAACATCCTGCAGGAAGCACAGCTCCACAATACAGTATTTCCAAGAAAGCTCAGCAGTTCCAAGAAAGCTCCACACACTTTTGCACTTCTCTGGTGACCCTGGGGACACAGACAAACCTCCAAGTGGCCTCAACAACTCTCTAAAAAGAATGCAAATGACCAGCTGTCTGCAAGGTATATAAATCCTTCCATTCGCCACCATCCAGTTAGAGCTGAAGAAGCTTCTGGGACGAAAAGTGAAATGTCTTCAAAGAAAAACAAGGAAGTCCAGTTGCCTCTTGAAAAAAGCACCTTTGGACAACCATGACCTGGATGACTGAGAAACTCCATAGACACTTCCATCCTTGGACACTTTCAAAGAATTAGATATGTTTCCATGCAATGGAAACAGGAGGAAATGAGATTGTTTCACTTAAGCAGGTTCATCACCCTACAGTGGCAGCATTTATACAGATGAGTATTAATAGATAAGCCCAAGACAGAGTTCTGTTCTCACACAGCACAGCATTCCATAAGTTCTGTTCAGCCTCAGAGCCATCAGAAGCCCAATGGTAAATATATTATTTTTAAAAATCAAATAATGCTTCTCAGACATTGCTATCCGTCTCTTTCTTAATAAAATAAAGTTACCTTGATGTGATTCAACTATTCTATTTCTGTAAATGCCTATTCACACATATCACCATTGATATGGGACTTTTTTCTCAGAATATGATCCTACACTAGATGTTGACCCAGGTAAAAATCACAAGTGTGGATAATAGCTGCCCTTTGGGTTGTGTTCATTTTTTTATTTACTTATATAAAAATAGATACAGTGATGTGGGTCCTTCCCATTTCTTTCCGAATAATATTTAGCTGTGGAAAATGCAATCCAAGATATATAGGCTGAACCTTTTCAGCTTCTTGTAGATTTTAGCCTTAATGATATTCTCTTCTTTTTGCCATCCTAGAGTCTGTTTACGCTTTCGTTCCCAACAAAGCAAAACTTGTCTTTTTCCAGTATAATGGAAGGGCTGAGGTAAATATTCTTGAAGGCATCTCTTCCTCATGAAGATGTCAATTGTACAAATATGTATCTTGTGTCTAGCATTTGACAGTTCTAGAGTTTGACAGTTCTGGAGTACTATGAATTAAGCTTTAATGTAATGGTCTCTACAAGCTCTGTGAAGAATAACAGAATAAGACTAGAAAGGGATCTTGGAGATCTTCTAGTCCAAACCTCTGCTCAAGGAGGAGACTATAATTTCAGACAAATGGTTGTCCATTTTCTTCTGAAATCATCCAGTGATGCAGCAACCACAACTTCTGAAGGCAAACAGTTCCTCTGATCAATTGTTCTGTCAGGAAATTTCTCCTTAGTTCTGGGTTGGTTCTCTCTTTGATTAGAATGGAATGGAATGGAATGGAATGGAATGGAATGGAATGGAATGGAATAGAATAGAATAGAATAGAATAGAATAGAATAGAATAGAATAGAATTCTTTATTGGCCAAGTGTGATTGGACACACAAGGAATTTGTCTTTGGTGTATATGCTCTCAGTATACATAAGGAGAATAAAATACATTAATCAAGAATAAAAAGATACAACACTTAGTGATAGTCAAGGGATCAAATCGTAATAATCGTAATAAGCTATCAAATCGTACTAGGAAACAGGGTGGATAAAAATCAATGATTTTTTTTAAAAAATCAGATTTTTTAAAATTTAAATCGGATTTTTTTTATTTAAATCGGATTTTTTTTATTTAAATCGAATTTATTTTAATAAAAAGCTTTTGGGGTAAAAATCTATCGTAAAATAGTTTTCTATTTAAGATACATAAATAATTTAGTTTATTCAGCATGAAATGGAGCTTAGTTATGTAGCATGAGGCTGTATATTCTGCAACACTGGGACTATTGGTGAGTCAAAGGTGGGTCAAAAGAGTAGCAGAGATGACAGTTGCTCTTTAAAAATTATGATTTAAATCGAGTTGATTTAAATCAAGCCTTTTTACTAGTGATTTAAATCATGATTTAAATTGTGATTTAAATCAACTCGATTTAAATCAAATCCACCCTGCTAGGAAACAAATAAAAACAATATAAATTGAAAGATACAAGCAACATGGTTATAGTAATAAGTGGGAAGAGATAGATACTAGTAAGGAAGAGAAGAATAATAGTAATACAGTCTTAGTAAATTATTTGACAGTGTTATGGGAAGTAGTTGTTAAGCAGAGCGATGGCATTCGGGGGAAAACTGTCCTTGTGTCTAGTTGTTCTGGTGTGCAGTGCCCTATAGCATCGTTTTGAGGGTAGAAGTTGAAACAATTTATGTCCAGAATGTTTCCTTTAGTTTCCCTCCATTGCTTCTTGTTCTGCCTGCAGCTGTTTTGTTTTTTTTTAATTTGATTTATATGCCGCCCTTCTCCGGAGACTCAGGGCGGCTTACAACGTGGTCAGCAATAGCCTTCATCCTTTTGTATATTTATACAAAGTCAGCTTATTGCCCCCACAACTGGGTCCTTTGAGAAGATTGACCCCCCTCTTCTTTGTGGCGGCCCCTTAAATACTGGAACACTGCCATCATATCACTCACCCCATTCCTTCTTTTCTTTAAACTAGAGATACCCAATTCCTACAACCATTTTTCATATGTTTTTAGCCCACAGTCCCCTGATCATTTTTGTTGCTCTTCTCTGCACTCCTTCCAGAGTCTCAACATCTTTTTATACTACCTGTTGAATGTGATTGGTCAGCCAATTACAAATCCATCAGAGGTGATGCTGTCTAACCCACATTTTCTCTTATCAAGTAGTAGGTTGTAGTCTACTTTATCAAATGCCTTACTAAAATCCAAGTAAATTACATTCACAGCATTTTGCTGGTCCACTTATTTTGTCACATTGTCAAAGAATGCAGTAAGCTTTGTCTAGCATGATCTGTTTTTGACAAACCCATATGGGCTTCTGATTATAACTTTGCTTCCCTCTAGGTCTTGACAAATTTGCTGTTTGATTATCTTTTCCAGAATCTTCCTTGGTGTTGCTGTCATTGTCATTTTCTGAATCCATTTTCTTCCCTTTTTTGAAAATGGGAACCATGTCAGCCCTTTTTCAGTTCTCTGGTAGTTCTCAAGTACTCCAGGATCTTTGAAAAATATGGTTCAGTGGTGTTAAGATCATGTCTGTCAGCTCCTTCAGAACCTTGGGGTGTAATCCAGTGATGGGTTTCTATTGGTTCGCACCGGTTCGAGTGAACCGGTAGTGGCAGTGACAGGAGGCTCCACCCACCCACCTGGACGTCATCACAGATGCTTTGCGCATGCACAGAAGGTTCTGCACATGCGCAAAAGTGCCACACCCACGCACCCAATTCCAAACTGGTAGCAAAGGTAAGTGGAACCCACTACTGGTGTAATCCATCTGATCCTGGTGATTTCCCTCATTTAGAGTGGACAGGTATTCTCTTATGATTTTCTTCCTTATTTTTACTTATATTCCTGATCTGCATTTTACAGGGTTTTTTTATAGGTTGGACTGTTTTTTCCTTTTGTGTAAAAACAGATGCAAAAGTGAGTTAAGCAGTTCTGCTTTCTCCCTGCCAATCATCATCTTGCCATTTTCTCCTATTAATGGACCAATCATTTTATTGACTTTTTTCTTAGTTTTTTACATGTTGAAAGAAGTTTTTTCTGTTATTTTTGTCATTTGTCACAAGCCTTAGTTCATTTTCAAACTTTCCTGACTTCACCTTTGCAAGTTTGGGCTACTTGCTGATATTCTGCCTTAGTTATGTGTCACTCTTTATACTTGACCCTTTTGTCTTTCAGTTTATCAGAGAGTTCTTTGTGCAATCATGCTGGCTTCTTTTGAGATCTCTTATTTTTCTACTTCATTGGTATTGTGCTAGACTGGGCTTTTATAATCTCACTTTTCAAAGTTTCCCAATGTCACAAAGCACATGGAAAAGGAGCAGAACTTGGGACATGAAGCTTTCATTTCTCTGAACCCCCCTGCCCCTGTGAATGCCACTGATTAAATGGGTTATTTTCTTAAGAGTTAATGCTGTCTAGTGGTTTAGAAGATAGAGGTTGCAAACCCAGATTCAAGTTTACAGTTAGCCCTATAGTTCATTGGGGTCAGTCTTCAGCCTAAGAATCATATAAAATTCCTGAAAGGAAGGAAGGATATTGGAGTTGCATAACCCTGGGTCATATTGAGTTCCCTAAAGCCCTAAGAGATCTCAAACAATTGTAAATTTGTAATATTTAAGGTGACATAAAATAGACAATATTAAACTGGAGACTAATCAATTCATTGTAATTAGCTATAAATATAAGTAAGATGAAGTATTTCATTTTTACCCTGGCCCTGCCTGTTAAGTCTTTGAATTCAGCTGCAGCACAATTAGTTAAGGCCAAAAATGGCTCTCAGACTAGAAAAAAGTCTCACCGCTCTTCTATAAATCATCATCTTTACCTTGAAAAGCTATACTATGTGAGCTAAAATTGATAGGTTTGTTCTGTATGATTATTTTTCTTTCAAGTCCACACCATCTAAGAAATTTCCAATCTCATGCCTATCAGATATTTCAGAGATAGAACTCTCAAGATGTCCAACCAAATGTCTAGTAATTCTGGTACTGTAACCATAACACAGCTGCAGTTAAATGGTGGCAGAAATCTCTCAGGGGAAAAACACACCATTGTTCTTCCATCTTTTACGAGACCGCCTTCTGCCACCGATAGCCTCCCACCGACCAGTACGCTCCCACAGAGAGGGGCTCCTCAGGGTGCCGTCGGTCAAACAATGTTGACTGGCGGCCCCCAGGGGGAGAGCCTTCTCTGTGGGGGCACCTACCCTCTGGAATGAGCTGCCCCCGGAGATACGGCGGATCCTGGATCTTCGCACCTTTTGTCGCTCCCTAAAGACGTTTTTATTCCAGCAAGCCAGGCTGGCTTAACTCTTTTAAATTGTTTAATTCTTAAATTGTTAAGTATCGGTTTTAATATAGGGGTGTTTTAATTGTGGGCCCAATTGGATTTTAATACTGTTTTTAAATTTTGTATTTTTTGTGTTTTATCTGTTGGCTGTTCAACGCCCTGAGTCCTTTGGGAGAAGGGCGGTATATAAATATAAACAAATAAATAAATGGGTGGTTAATAAGGAATAAAGACATAATAGAAAAACAGAAAAACAATGAAAGACAAAATATAATATCAGAGATAAAATCAACAACACAATCAACATAACCAAGTTCAACCATACAACCTGGACCCCAGCAACACAGTAAATAATTATGGGAATTCACTATTACATTCATGGTTCCTGCAAACTGGATCAAGGGCAAACTATGAAGTTTCATAAATTTTTCCTACTTAAATTTTGCCAAATTCAAAGTTTAGTTCACATGCTAACTCACTGGTGCAGGAAACACCATCATTTCACTTAGATTTGGAGCTGTTCCATTTGATATATCATCCAAATCTGAATCTTCAGATTTGAATCTTCACACATTTTCCCCATCTGATAGAACTGGGCTAAATCTACAGTAGTCATTTCTTCTTAATAGATGGAAAATACTAGATTTAAGCCAAAAAAAATTTTCCTCATTTTTCAAATTTATTGGCAAAATTGAATGAAATTTTGCTCTGAACTTTCTATAGAGACAAAAACAGACATGTATTACATGAATAGGTTTGCGATGGTTAAGTGTTAGAAGTCTTGGGATTTCTGTTGGCATTTATTAAGCATATGACTTTTAGAAGTGTAGGTGCCACATCTTTGATGAAATAGATCTCATCCACAACAATACACGGTATTTTTACGCAATTTGTATGAGGCTGGAATTAGAGATACATACCTTGTTGCAGAAATGAGGCCCATGTTTTGTGTCCTTCTGAACAATGAATCACTGACAAAGCTTCAAGAAGTTCAAACAGAATTAGAATGAATTCAGGATTCACAGAAATCCATCAGCTATCGCTGCATTACATCATGCTAGTTTTTAATCAGCTGCATAAAACTATTGCATATTACCAATCAGTGATGCTCAAAATTCTACATACAATGTCAACAAGGAAATATCATTGAAGAATTACTGTGGGACGAATGTCAAATGCTATCAGATGCTAAATGACAGTGCATGTCAGCTGTCCAATGCTGAAAAATGCCATCTGTCAACACATTAAAATCAAATTTTATATGCAGTTGAAAGTCAAATTTCCATAACATGCAAGAACTTACATACTAGCCAGAGCATTGAGATGTCCAGAAGAGAATTTTGAGTGGAGGCTTTGGAAGAAAAAATGTTTCTACTCTATGTTACCATGCAATTGTATATGCCCAGCTTGCTTTTTAAAGCTGAAGTTTACCGAAAACAGTCTATGGACACAAGGCAAGCAACTGAGCCTGGCCTGTTCCCCAAAACAAAAAAATATATAAAGGAGTCTGCTTAATATATCTGTTGGATTTGTTTGCATTCTATCAGTTTCTATGAAAGAAAAGTACTTGCATTATCTCTCTGTTGAGGCTGGTTCATTCACTCCTGATGCAGGGATCTTTCAGTCTTGCTCTCCAGGTACTTTGCCTCTCTTTCCGTCTCTGCCTGAACCATGGCTCTTGGCTGACTGCTACTCTATCTAGAACATATCCTTCTACATTAATAGCTCATGAGGATAAGGGTAGGGTTCTCAAACAACAGATATTTCTCCAAAATAGAACTTGCAAGAAGAGTAGGTCATAATGGTCAGTGGTCTTAAAATGCAGAAGCATGGTCAACAATGTTTTCCTTTGTTTTGTTTTTACTATGTTTGTTTGCAAAGAGGAAGATTAGTTGGTCCCACTTGTTTATCCAGTCCACCTGGAAAGATGTGATTCCAACCAGATATGAAGGCAGAAACAAGGGTATCTTATCTGCTACTAACTCATGTTTGCAATATTTTGGAATTAGAAATACAGGAAATGTGTACTGGTCACATTACAATTGATGAAGAGGCAATCCAGAACTGTGCTTGCTGCTAATTTTAGAGTCATGAATATATAGAAAATTTCAGGAAATACAAACCACTATGGGGAAATCCTGGCTATGTTCATGGGATATTCATTTGTAAGACTTCAGTCTAAATGGTTTGTTCACAGTATAATGTATAAAAATAAAGTTCAGTACCTTCACAAATTTATACTTCCCAGGAAACCAGAGTAACTTAAAATTTTTATAGTAACCATTTTTAATTTCTTACTATAAATTCTCAGTAACTTCCACAAACCATGGTTTTTATTGTTCTTGAGAAATCCATAAACTCCTGTCATCCGATTGAAAATTGTAGAGAGAATATCACTATTAAATAAAAAATGAGATAACACAGGATGATCTGCTGCTGTTGCTGCTATTCCTGCTCCTATAGTACATGCTGCTTCTGTCTAGATCTTGTTCATCTGTGGTTTATGGCTTTTCTTTGTTTGTTTTCTGCCTTTGTATCCTGTCTGTGAATCTAAGGATTCACACATACTCAAGCAAAGTCTAAAATCTGCAGAGCAAGATAAAACTGGGTGCCATTCTAAGGAAATTAAGTGCTGATGCTCCAAAATTCTCAAAGAGCTCCATTCACACAAGAAGCCTGAACTCAAGACAATCTAAGACTAGTTACACATTTGATGAGCTAAAATTAAAGCTGCATCCAATGGTGTAATTTTGCTAGATATCTATGCCTAATCATAGAGTCCATCTGATTTAGGAAATTCCCTTAGTTCTGATAGTTGCTGGGAGAAGAGGGCAAAGAAGCCATTTCCATGGTGCCTTCTCTGTCAGAGGGTCCTGACCCAGTCCTAGGCATTTCCTTAGAGATCTATGTACATGTGGGAGTATGGTGTGAAATCTTGTGCTCTGGCTAGCAAATAATTTAGCACCAAGGGAAAAAACTGAAGCTGTTGAGACAGTTCATCATGTTGGTTCCGCATGCAGTTTGGGAACCCAGAGACATGGCAAATAGATGCTTTCTTCCTAACATGATTAAGTCTGGGGGGGGGAGGGGGATAGTTTCTTTATTGCTTACTTGGGGAAACACTACAACTAGTGATAGAGTCTGAAATGGCCTATTTTTCCTTCCAATAAAATGTCAGTTAATCCACATTGAGGCAGGATTGCATAAAACAATAAATGATAGTATTACCTCTTATTACTTCTTTTTAAAATAATATCCTACTGATAATTTCTTCTTTTTGAAAGCATGCGTGCTACCCTGAATTGCACAAAAGTGGAAAATAAATCTAACAATACTTTTTTTAAAAAAATTAATCATTTTGACGAAGCTTTGGTTAAATACTTGCCCCTTGCAAAGATTTTGGCCAAGGGGGACTGGGTTGGGCCTTCTGTCGTTTGTTCTTTATGGGTTTGTTTTAATCAAAACATTCCTGCATTATCTTTCAAATTAGGATCCTTACAAAAACGATTCAAAAATCTCTGTATTTTTCAACAAGAACAACTTAGAGCAGATTCTTTATACACTTTGGTACCCATCGACCCGCTGCTTCGGTGGACAAAGTCCCACACTTTCCCTGGACCCGGCAAGGCCTGACTCGGCGGCGCCTAGACCAGGCCATCTGAATAGTAAACCGATCCCGTTTTAAACCGAGCCTTTTATTTTCAGGCTCTTCCAGGGCCAGTCGGGCCTGCTCCCTCTCTTATCCTCCCCTCGGCCTTGAGAAGGCGGGGAACATTGGCGAACGTCAAGCCAGCAGCTGCTAATGAGTTAGCCAATTGCGACTTCCAATTAGCCTCCTGGCAATTAAAAGGCGTTTATGGGATTAACACTCCGCAATTCTGCCCAACGCTTGGATCTGAGCAGGGAATGCGTGCACCGCGAAGGTTTGACTGGAAAGATCTAAGTCGCTTTTGCAGGATTCGAAGTCAGACAAAGGACTGGCTTCAAATGCCAAAGGCTCACTCGGCTCGCCAGGCAAAGCCCGGCGTCATCCGCTTTCCCTGTTCGCGCTTCAGAGCATGGAGCAAAAAGCAAAAAGCAAGGCTACTTACGACAGCGCAAGATGATAAAGCAACTATTTCCCCTAATTTCAGGACGGGCAATGGCGGGGGAGAAAAGTCAATAGAGAACTTCCTAGAAAACACTCCAAAGTTGATTTAGACTGTAAACAAGGAAGTAAATCCGCATTACTAGAAAGAAGCTATTTTCACGGTGGGAGAGCGATGAGAAGAAATAATACCGATTTCCTCTCTGGGATAGAAAGCATCTTCCAATAGTGCCCTCTCCACGTCATCGGTTACAGTATCCATCGCCTTCAGTCAGCACAGCTAACAGTCTTCTGCTACAATCCAATCCAATCCAATCCATGCAAAGGACACGAGGCTGGGGAACAATGACCCTTGCCGATGTATTGGGAAGATGTTACTCTAAAAATTGTCCTCTCTATAAGCTACCCTTGAAAGCAAAAAGAGAAAGGTAGTGGGAGGGGCGGATGAATCAGGGAAAGGAGTTCTTTCAGCGCCTTGATCTCAATAGAAGACCCAAGGCACGGTAAAGGCCTCCCAGTTATACCACTCCATCTTTTGTCTTCCTCCTTGGAAGGAACAAGGTGTTGGGTTTAGTGCCAATTCCAAAGAAAGCTGAATAGAATGGCAATGCCTGATGTTACAAGTAGAAAGGTTTACTTACAGCAATATTTCTCAATCCTGACAACTTTTAAGATGTGTGGACTTCCACTCCCAGAATTCTCCAATCAGTTGCCTAGGTAATTCGGGGAGTTAAAGTCCACACATCATATAAACCATTTTTATATAATACATCCTCATGACATTGCCTTCTTGTCATCCCGAGCCACCAGCAGGGAGAAGCTTAAAGTCACTTAGCTGTTCTAGTTTTATTTATCTTCTTCTGATAGTTTTGGTATGGAGATATCTACATTTCCTTGATAACGGGGTGGATGATGGTCTCAGGGCTGGGATTGGCACTGCTCCTATTAACCATTTAAAGACATCTGCAAGAAAATTCCTTTCCCTCTAGGGCCATTTTACTGAGATCCAGTAGAAACCGGACATTTTTTCCACAGAGGCATCTATTTTCCCTTGTCCTGACTTCTGGTCCTATGAGAATCCAGAACTAAAATTGGGAATCTCATACCATTTTCTGTGGTCCCAAATATATAATAGTAATCTCAAACTGCATTGCAAATGAGGTCTTGGCACTTTAATGCAAATACTGATTGCAGAGAGAGATGAGAAGAGAATGATGGGTAGATCTCAACACGTAAAAAATGACATGGTAAAATGTATTTGTGACTTAGTGCAAATAGACATTAATCCAGTGGTGAAATTCAATTTTTTTTATTACCGGTTCTGTGGGCATGGTTTGGTGTGGCTTGATGGGCATGGCAGGGGAAGGATACTTCAAAATCTCCATTCCCAGCCCACTCCAGGGAAAGGATACTGCAAAATCCCCATTCCCTCCCCACTCCTGGGGGAAGGATATTGCAAAAACTCCATTCTCACCCCACTCTGGGGCCAGTCAGAGGTGGTATTTGCCAGTTCTCCAAACTACTAAAACTTTCCACTACCGGTTCTCCAGAATCTGTCAGAACGTGCTGAATGTCACCCCTGCATTAATCCCTATAAGCACAGTTTAATAATGGAAGATCTGTGCAAACAAAACACTATGGGATCTCTATTGATCAAATTGCATCCAGACTTGACTAAGCATCAGAGGATAAGTAACTGAGTTGGTTATAACCATTACTATATATAGGGAATTCTCTGGTGTGGAGTATATAGTAGGTCTAAAATTATATGCTATCTGAGGCAATGGAGGCAGACTTTCTTTTGCCTGCAATTTGAGGAGTTCTATCAATTACATATTTTTACCAAAATTGAGGCATATACTTGGCAAGTGAGGCAAAGGTATCTATTCTAGTATACCATATTGCCAACAGAAATAAGGAATGAACCATGAAGAAGAACCTAAAGTGATTATGATAAGCAAAGCAATATCCTGAGTCCTCTGACTTTGCTGTACTCTGTCTTTAGCATGCCACCATCTGGGAGGAAAAGCAGAGAAGGAGGAATTATCAGTATACCTTCTTGGTGATAGTGCTTTTATTTTATTTATTTTATTTTATTGTTTCACGTTCTTTTCATTTTTTAATGTAATCACTAATTGTTGGTTGCAAAGTTTTCCGAGTTATGCTTTGATAGGAAAAGGATAAGTGGCCCAGAGACCTTATCAGTATGTTATTTGAAGCTCCACCAACCCCAAAGGGGTAAGCACAATAGATTTTTACACTTTTAAGCTACTGCGTGATAATCAGAATAAGGCGGGGAAACCCCTATACTAATAGCACAGAGTCCACAAGGGTGTTTAAAATGCATGAAACCAGCATTCAAAGGATTTTTTAAAAAATAGGCTAGCTAGAATGAAGTCCATCTTGGTGGAATTAGGTAAGAATATTGTGATAGTTCTGATGCTGATGTACACTGTGAGTGAGTAAGTAAAGAACTGCAGGGCAATATGCTGTTCTCCTGATAAGACCGTGTCAATGCAACAAGGCCTACAATTTATTAAAAATCACTAGTGAGAAAAGGGTCCAGGAGTAGAAATTAATTTGGATTAATTATATATAAGTAAGATGATTTGTACTTGTAAGGTACACTTTCTGCCCTCCTTTTCCCAAAATTCTTCTGGTTTTTTTCTTTTGGTGAAATATGTGCATTTTTATGTTGCCAGCTTGAATCTACGCATAGTTTATTTAACTTCTTTCATAATTTCAATCTAGTTATTCCAGTTATTTATTAACCCAATTAGCCAATGGCTCAGTCTTATGTCAGGCTACATTTTCATTTAGGTGTTTAATTGTCTTTATGTGGACAATATTTAAAAAACAGACTACCACCAATAATGATTTTAACAGGTACCCTTATTTGTAAGTGGTATACCTCTGAATACTAAATGTTAGGTTCATGGATATTATTTTAAAACAGATTAATAGTTGTGCTGATATTTCACAGATGTCCTTATTCATTAGCAATAGCTCTCTGAATACTAAAGTCAGAGATACACCACTAATGAGGCTATTGCAGAGTTGCTTTAATTGTATGCTTCCTAGAAGCATTTGATGATCACACTGAAAGCAGAATTTGTTGGAATACAGTTCTGTTTTGATTAATATTTTTCAGGTAAGCTCAGAAATTATCAGGAATCAGCTAAAATGACTAAAACTCTGTGTCTCAAGTTCTTTGAAACTTTAGCCAGCACTCTTTTAATTTTAAAGTAAAATGGTGGAATGCTCCTTATTTCCCGTCCTCTGCCTATATGAAATTGAAAAGACAAGGGTGAGCCTGTCAGTGCTTAGAATAATTTAGTTTCTCCTTGGGCTCAACTAGAGATCTATTATCAGATCCTATTTGGCAAGTGTTGGAATCCCTGGATCACTTTAAATACTTGCATGCAATGCTGCAAGCATATGCATGCAAGTATGTGCTGCAACACATATGTGCTGCAACACATATGGAGAATAGTGGGATATAATTTTAACCCATTAACCCATGAAACATTTACACTGTGACATAATCTCATTTTAAAAGTGCATCTAAATTGGTTTTGAGGGTCAATTGGGGCTCTGTCAACATTATTGATTGGGATTGACTCAGTTCTGAGGGAGCTACTTTTAAAACTTTTGCAGAATTAACTATTATTTATTTGTCTATCAAATTTCTACACAGCCTACCTCACCTAAGTGACTCTAACATAATTGGTTTACTTCAGAGGATTTCTTGAAAATGCAGTCAACAAGTATTTATTATTGCAGTGGTTCTTAAACTGTTGGCCCAGTTACCCTTTTTCCTAGTCCTGGCTTACCAACCAGTTGCTTACAACCTTTTGAAGTTATGATGGCCATGGAACTTGGCCATTGTAAATGGATGCACCACCTTCCCCCTGTAGTCATGTGACTATATGTTGGGCAGGTTAGCCTTTGTTGAGCCAGGGGAAAAAAATGCCCATTCAAATGAATGGGTTCATTTAACAACGATTGCAAAAAAAGGCCAGAAAATTACTTCCAGTCATGTGGGTACCTCAACTTAGGACCACAACAACTTACAACTGTAATTCCGGGCTCAATTGTAGTTGTAAATCAGAAGAACTTACAAGGATTACTTCTAATGTTATTACCGACTCCCCCCAGCCCCCCCCCGCCCTGTTGTTTACACATAATAGAGCAGTCCCAAACTGGATCTTGGATTCACAAACAAGAAATTACAAATTGCTCTATTATCCCTAGGATATGCCCAAATTACCCTCTTAGGGGTAATTACCTCGGTTTAAGAAGCACCGTGTTATTAGGTGTTATTAGGTCCAGATGTGACTACTGCTTCTGAAGTTTTAGAGATTTAGAACAGTGTTAGAGATTTGGGAAGAATTATTTGTAGCTCCTAAAGCAATAATCATTTTAGCAAGTTCAAGGAAGATGTTCTTGATAAGTTATTTCTGTGACCTTGAATAATATATTATCTTTAGTCTTGTAGACCAATAGAAATTTGAATTAAACAGTATAAAATGTATTTCCTTTAATCTTAACATTTTACTAATAAAAGAAAAATGTGTTCCATGTATATTGGATGCCTCAAAGAACATTCAAGAAATAACTAGTTACAATCACCCTATTACTGAATATGTAATTTAGTAGTTGGAGTATTAATTCATATGGTTTTAGCTTGTCCTATTATTGTTTCACCTTAAACAGACATCAGCAGGATTGTTAGCATGACTCTGGATCAAGCAGTGTATGTTAAGGATTCATGTTCCTTTTGTCTATATTCCCAGAATCAAGAGTTATAGATTCTTCAGGCAGAGGTTCACTAAAAAATTATATAACATTGGAAAGAGAAATCTATATGTGGTATGTAGCAATGGATTATCAGAATGATAACATGTGAAATATTTTCAATTAAGAAGCAAGACTTTTAAATGCCATAACATTTTTATAGTTGTTCTATTTATAACCATCTTTTTCTTTTAAAATTGCTAAAAAAAAAATTACAATTGCTAAACTTACCTGTTCTGAAATGTGTTGCTCCTTTCATACTATTATATGTACTGTATTTTTATTTTTATTTTGGTATTATCAAATAATGTTTTTTTAAAAAGAGTGGTCCAAGTTAGGATATATCTAGAAGGCGTTAGTAGTATTCAAATGCATGAGGAACTACTTGCAGTCTCAAGTAACAAAGCAAGGACAAGAAACTGATCTTCTTGTTCCTCCTATCTGTAACAAGAGGTCATAAAGATCCAACATATAAAACACCATGTAAAAGATTAACAGTTCCACTCAATCTAATTTGATAAATTAAATTAAATTCAGGTATAAATCACTGTTACGCATTAAGACACTTGAGGCTGAGTCTCCTGAGAACCGTTAAAGAGAAATCAGAGAGTGGGTGGGAGTAAATAGACACTATATATAACTGAATTAGCTGTATTGAAGATTTCAGATTCTGGTAACCGGGGGATGTGCTCTCCTGCAGTAGCATGTGACAAGTGCCTTGAATTCAGCACAGAGCAGAGCCAAAGTTCTAGATATATTGTGCTATAAACTAAACTGAAATAAAAGGGGTGCTGCATAAAAATTGGCTTTGGGCAGCCCCAGCAAACTTTTGCAGAATTCCTGGTCTGATTCTGGCATCTTCAGGTAGGCATGGGAAAAAAAACAGGCCTGAAACCCTAGAGAGTTGTTGGCGGTCAGTGTCAAGTTATTATCATTTTCATAAATTTACTACTTCTTTTAAGACATAATTATCTTTAATTCAAGAATCGTCATAAATCATGGATGGCAGATACTATCCTCAAGGAAGTGTTCCTTCTAAAACTGCTGCTTTTCTAGCATGTACATCAGAATTTGGGGAGCAGAGCAAACTACAAATAAATAATTAAATAGATGCATATGCCTTCTCTATAAAAAGAATACTCTCTGGGTTCAGAATTAGTATTTTATTTGTGCCCATCATTTTTCTTCTTTCTCCATCATCCCCATGTCCTTTCCCTTTATCAAAGTTTAGGCATTAAGAAATATATGGGTTTACATCAGGGACCTAAAGACTGTTAATCTCTATTTTTAAGTCTTCATATTGTAAAAAAAGATGATGAAGCAATATGTTTCTATGTGGTCTACATTTTACGATAAGCTTAAAGACTGAATCCTATATTGAAATTAAATGGATATTACATGGATCCAAATCTGTTTCAATTTGTCTAAATCTCAAAGAACTTACTATTGCAGATGCAGTCATTAAATAGGAAGGATTCAATAACAAATAATTTTGACATGAAATAATGTTTTAGGGAAGTTATCACAATCAATTCACAAGAAATTCCTGAAGATCCCAAGAGCATTCCCTTAAAAAAGACTCTCTGAAATCAATAGAATAGACAGTATTCCCCTATCCATATCTGCCTATCAGTCCAAGCCTACTAGGAAGTTCAGTGAGGATTGTCCCTATATAAGTCATGCAATTATGTACCTTAATTCCTCGCTATTCAAGAAACAAGCATGATCCAAAGTTAAGCACCTACTAGTTTTATGGAGACTGGAGGAAGTAGACAATATTCTAGTAAAATCTTTACCAGATCATCTTTGCATATTGCTGGAATTCTTAAAGGGAGATAATTTTGAGCAATGCTTACACAGACACAGACAGAGCCTTCAACATCACAATTAGAGTGAATTCCAATCACTAAATAGTTGGTTGTATGATTTATTGGAAAGCAATATTTTTTACAGCCTATCTTAAATTTTAGTTATCTTTCTGTTTTTAGAACATTGATGCATGCTGAGACAATAGT